TAGTATTGTAGTTCGTGTTCTTAAGAACGTTGTTGCGAATGCACTTTTGCGCATGTTTTTTTACATGTACGTTTGTGCATGTCCATTTGAGCGAGTGTGCTTGTGCATGTTTGCAGATTTGTATTAATGTCCTAGGATTGTAGTTTGTGTTTTCATGATCCTTTTTGCGAATGCACTTTTGCATGCGTACTTTTGTGCATGCTTTTGTACTCTTACTTATGTGCGTGTCTTTCTAGCGAGAGTTTTTGTGCACGTTTCTTGATGCGCATTCATGTCCTCGAACTGTAGTACGTATTTTCATGATCGCTTTTGGAATCCAATTCTGACCATGTTCGATTCCGAATTTGGATTTTTGCCGTTAGACAGGAATTGAAGCCAGCTGAAATAGCTTCCTAATACCGCCGAAACCAGTTGATTTGGAGTCTGGATGAGAAAGTTATGCTCGACTTCGTGGACGTACACTACCAAAGATGTTGAGGGATTCTCTTCTCTAATTTGATTTTATTTTCCTAATTGCAACTCTTTTCTTACTCTTTGATCATTTTTGCTTCCTGGACACCTAATTTTCGATAAGTACCTATAAGATACCTAATCCACCAATTGAAACAGAAATATAAATTAATCCAAAAAAAAATATCCACATAAAAACGTAAACGTAGTGTTTTATTTCTACACTCCACTGTATCTTTTGAATTTTGTGTTTTTGCTGTTGTTTGTGTTGGGTTTCGGGCACGCATACGCAGCGGACAAAAAAAATTTAATGTGATTTAAACGACTTTAAAGCACACAAGTACATGCCCGACAAATTAAAATCAATTAATTGCGTACCTTTGCGCTTCCAGCGAAATTAAAAACAACATACATGCTAAATAATTTAACCGAATTTAAATCAATTAACATGCTTGCAAAGATTAAAACGATTACACATAATCACATAAAATCATACGATAGCAAACATGAATTCACAGTTTAAACGTAAACGAATCGAAACTAGGGTTTCGTGTATTTACCTCTTGAAGCGTGAGGTAGGAGCGTTTAGCAAGTCGAGATTGCTACGGAAACCAATCCGTACAATCGGGGCAGCAGCGGTGCAGCGGAAGCAGCGGCGAATCGGCCACGGCGGCGCGTGAGTTACACGCGCGGTCTTCCGGGGCGACGCGTGGGGCAGCGTGCGGCTTCGGCTCGTGCGCTGCTCTTCGATTCCTCGATCTTCGATCTTCCTCCTCTCGGATTTCACCTCGTATACTTCGATCTACTAAACACGTGGCACTAGACACGTAATAGTTAGAAAAACGGAAGAAAAAGAGAAGGAAAGAAGCTACCAAACCAATCGGCCGATGGACGGCCGATTCCGGCGAAACGGCGGGGAGGACGGCGGTGGTGGCCGCGGAAAGAGAGGGCCGAGAGAGAGAGGGGTGGACGGCTAGGGTTAGGGTTTTGTGTTGTGTTATTTGTGCAAGGCCTATAAATCAAGTATTTATAGTCCCTTGCATAAAACCCTAACGGGCTTAAGTTGGACCGGGCCCAACAGCTTAAGCTCGTTAGTTCCTTTACTTGCTCGTCTCTCTCAATTCAATGATCGGAAAATTGCAACAATTACATTTTCGGAATCATTATAATATCCTCGTCATTACGAGTGCCAACTCTCATTTTCCAACTTTCCAAAAGTGGAAACCCTAGTTCAGTGCACTTTCTAAATTTGGAAACTTCCCGATTTAGAAAGTTCACTAATACGTTCGCCTATTCTTTTCCTTTTCTTATTCTCATTCATAATTCCAAATTACGAATGTTGGACTCAATCATATTGACTTCCAATCATGCAAAGATAAACTATTTTATCTCTGACCGTTTATTCAAAGATCTCATGTGCACGAGCAGTGTGACCCTCGATGGTTCAGGTGTAAGCTAGCCGTGGGCCCACAACTCTTTGTGGTCAAAACTCGTCCCTTAGAGTTACGATTAAGATGAAGCTCGTTTCACCTTAATCACCCAACGAATCAAGATTGGCGTCTAGCAACTACGCGTCATGATTCCCTAGATACAAATGAAGTGCCTGCAAGAACCTTCAGATATAGTTAACGTACAGTACGGTCCCTTCGATGCATATGTCCCGATCGAACTAGAGGCATTGGTTCATCGAGACCTCTTTATATGTTCGATGACGGTGCGATCGTTCCAAGTGTTGTAATCCTTACGTGCATGACTTAGAGAATCGAATTCTCTAATCATCACTTAGTCAGCTCTGGCCAGAGACTTAGAATGATTACAAACTTTCAGAACACACAGGACATCCAAGACTATTCTAGCGATCGAATCCCCGACTACAATGCACAGACCTCCCACTAGATTTCGGACTGCACGAACACTGGCCCTTGGGATGGTCCTCGGTGGAACTCAGGGACAGGTCACGATACAGTTGGTCCTCTAGTGAAGTCACGGTGATGTGTAGGTCATAAGGACTAATGGTGTACAACTATACCATAGATATCTCTACTCGATTATTGGGAACCACTTAGAGATTTCTAGGGTGAGGGAGTTCAGTGAACTCGTCAACTTACGAGCACCCACTTATGCATGCCGATATCACAATATCGTTTACTGATGAGATGCAGTACACATACACTAAGTGCTAGTCTTAATGGGAAAGGCCGATATCCTCATTAGTGGCGTAACCCTTCGACTAGGAACACGTTTAACAGTTATAATACTTGAGTAAATATCTCACGATCCTAACGATCAATTACTAGTACTTGTAATAACTGTAAGGACTATATCTATGCTTGTGACAAAGGGACAAAGATATAGTATGCCAAGGTGTTTTATCATTAATACGAATAAAGGTTCGTTTATTACAATAATAAATACGAAAGACCACAGCCACATGTTGGCTTGTTGGTCACCTACTCTAACATTATTACGATAGAGTTCTAACGGACTATTGATTTCTGGAAGTAGTGGAGACAACAAAGAGTTATGGGTGATTTAAGAAATATTGGGGGAGCCATGTCACCCCATAACTCCCCATAACTCTATGTTATCTCTACCACTAGCTAAAAGTAATAGTCCATTAGAACCCTATCGGAATAATGTAGCTAATGCATTATCCCATTAGAATTTATAACTACGTTTCAGGGACCTTAAAATTATTCAAGCATACCTCAGAGGTGTGGGTGTAATTTACCTTTTTTTAAAATAGCACACTTGGTCCATTGTGAGTTTAATGGTTGACCGAATGTGAAAGGACAAATATACCCTTCAGTAATAAAAATGTATAAAATAGAAGCCAAATTGAATCCAAAATAAAATAAAGGTAATATTGCAATTTATACTAAATTTCTGAAAATTGAATTAGGGACTTGATTGCAATTTCCCCAAAAACACGGCTCTTCGTCTGCTTCTCCAGCCCCCGGCAGTTGCTCCGCCGCCACATTTACCAAATTGAATTTGCAATCGGAGTGGTGTGAATATGATTTTCAGATTTTTGAGGTGAAAGAAGAGGAGAGGAGAGGGGCATCACGAACTGATGGTAGTGGCGGCTATGGGAGAGCATCAAGGGGAGCTACCGCTGCCCTTGGTTGGAGGCCACTAGAATTGGGGCTGGAGAATTAGAGGGGCAATATCTCAAATCCATTTTCACTCACATGTATCCACGACTGTGCCACACGCAAGTGTACTAGGAGGGTTTTTACTAGTTTATTTATCAAAGAGGGATTTTTGCTATTTTAAGATAACACAGGGATATTTTTTGCAGTTTACTCAGCTTAATATACTCTATTTACATCTTCATGCAATTAAAGGTATATTTGTATCAAATATAATTTTATTAACATATGGTATAATATTGGTCATCAATAAAAAACTAAGGTAGATTAAAAACTAAGGTAAAAACCAATTCATATTGGGCAATTTACAAATAAGTCTATTAATGAGTACTCCATAAAGAGGTCGACCAAAAACTCTTTTACAAAAAAATTCACATATGGTCCAGAGGTTTGTAAAAGACTAAAATAGCCTCTCACATTTTAATATGCTCTAATTTCATCCTTTAATTTAATATAACCTCAATTTGACCCCAAATTTCACAAATTATTCAATCTGATCCAAAACACAATTTTATGGACAATTTCGTCCGTCGCCGCCGTTTTTTCTTCTTCCTAATTGTACATTAGTTTTTTAATCCAACTTGAATCAACTAGATCGGATGTCCGATGACAAAGTTGTGCATGAACGGGTTACATTTTGAATTTTACATAGGGAAAATTGCATATCACCCCCTATAATTTATTTTTTTATTTTCGCACTTTACTCCCTCAAAATTTACTAATAATGAATGCCCACCTTCAAAATGTTATACTTGTTGCACACTGGCCCGATAGCAAAATTCCGATGAATTATTAATCGGAATTGAGTGTTTTTCTTTTTTGCATGTTGCCGCTTTACATGTTATTTGTTGCACGTTGCCCCTTAAAAACACTATTTTTCTACACATTGCCCTTTTAAAATGTTAGTTTTGTTACACAATACCCACTGAAAATTGGCTTTTAGGGCAAAGTGCAACCAAATTAATATTTCTAGGGGGTTATATATTTTCTAAATTTTTTTAGGGAGGAAAGTGCGAAAATAAGAATTTTGTCCTTTTAGATAATTCACACAGTGTTTATTGATTTATGCATATATTTTTCATCTCACATTCAATTTCATTAATTCAAGTTCAATTAACCAACTCTCGTTAGGAGTGGGTACATATCCCCTCGTAAAGGACTTGAATTTACTAAAAAAAAATCAAAAAGAAAAAATCAAGTTCAATTAGAAAGTTAACTCAAAGGCCTATAAATTTTAAATTTTGTCAAATTCAAACTCAAAATCAGGTTTAAAGTCACAACGGTATTATTAAAAGTGCAAGGACATTTATCAATATCTCCACTCATTAACCTAAAACTACTTAATTATTATTGTATAAATAAATATCGCGGTTTGCCCTGCTTCTCAAAACTCTCGAACAGTTGTGACTTGTACGAGTTTTCTTTCTTCCTCCAAGCGGCAAGCCCCACTTTGCTCTCAATTAAAAAAAAATCGTCTCGAAACCGCCGGCGACCGCCCTCACTCACCACCTGAAATCTTCCGGCGAGTTTAATCACAGCCCACCAATTGGCCCCTCTTCTGCCGCCGTCGAGCCGCCATGTGAAAGCCTTGCTCCCGTTTTTTTTTTTTTTTTTTTCGTTTTCCAATAGTTTGATTAACCCCGTGGCATCGGACTTCGCCGTGCGTCACCTTCGGCCTTCAGCCCGACCATCGGAGCACAGTTTATCTGTGGACTGTATTCAAAGTTGCTGCTTCCGGAAACTCCAACTTGAAGGCACGAGGTATTTTATTTCTTTAGTCTGTGTTTATGTTCAGCTATTGAGCAATTAGAATCTGTTTCGTGTTGATGGAGATACCTAAACTGGGTACGGTGAAGGGATTAAACTTTACCTTTTCTGCAACCAAACGAGTGCTCTTTTGTTGTTCGATGAAATGCCTAAACGAAGTGCCGCCAATTTAATGAAATGTGATTTAATTATCACAACCAAGAGAGTGCTCTTGTTTTGTTTGATGAAATGCCTGAACGAAGTGCCGCCAATTTAATAAAATGTGATATAATTATCTGTAGCGATTTTTTACCGTGGTATTTTTGGGTTAAACCCCTTGAGTTTGCAACAACTTCAAGTTCATGTTTTGGGTCGGCGACATTGAACTTGTCTATTTGTATTTACCGCTACTAAATTGGATTAAACGAACCACAATTTATCTAACCGGATTCACAAACTCCACACTATTCCATTTATCCCTGTTTTTAATAATAAGATATACAGAGAAATAACCACTATACTTGTTGCTCTTGTTTTTTGTTTGCAGCACCTAATCAATAGCTGGCTAGCTTACGCCTCTTGCTTCGACGTTGGTCCACATTTCAGTAAGCCTTTTTTGCACTCTTGACAAAAATTCCAGAGAAAAATGCCGTCTCTTCAAACAGCATTACCCCCTGAGCTCGCCAACAATGCTATCAGGGTTTGATTTTTATTTTTTTCCTTTAGCAGCTTCTTGTTTTATATCAGGGTTATTATTTTTTCCGTTTACTTTCTGATTTTTAATCGATTTACAGATCCTTTCTTTTATATTCTGGTTATATGCTACTAGGGTTTATGAGCTTTATGCTGGAACCGACTTGGTGTTTTGATTATTCTCTACTTTCATTTGTAATTTTCTTAACAAAATTAATTTAAAGAACGAATTCTTATAAACAATTAATTTTGTATCTCTCTTCTACCCCTTCTCAGTCCACTCTTCCTCATTCATCATACCTTTTCAATATGAGCGCATTTCTATGTAGTCATAGGCTTAATTCAGCACAGGATTCTCGAATTTTAACATTTTTTTTTTCTTATTTTTAACATTTCCCCCCCTTTCCCTCATTGCAGCTTTATCGTGAATGCTTGAGACGAGCTAAATATATTGGCCAAAAGGTATGCAGTGCTCTCAGCTTTATTATGTCTTGGTGAAATACATGGAATTTATATATGTATGATTTATGATTGAACTGCTATATGGAATTCGTGATATTTATGATTGGGATAACACACTAGAAAAATTGTTCTTCTAAATCTTGTCCTAACAAATGGCTTGTCGACAGTCGTTGCTGAAACCATAATTTGATGCTCAACTGCATATTTTATATGCACGTCAATCTATGGATCTATTAATGATGTGTATTTGTTTGTAATTAGAATGTGACTAGATTTATGAATTGAAATTTGTATCATCTGATTCTTATGCTTTGTGGAAGATTCTTGAGACGAGAGCTTGAATTGGTTTTGGTGCAATGCATAGCTGTTTGACTGTTTCTCATATTCATAGGCTACAGTTATTAGTTAATCAGGAACAGTAATTTGCTTGTCCGCTAGGGAGAGTACATTATTAGATGCATCCCCACATACAAGTTGTCGTTTTCGTAGCTCTGTTATTCTACTACTATTTGTTCATGCTTCATATGATGGATGTGGTGACAATTTATTCCTGAGATAGTTGAATGAAGTGGCAGGATAAATCATCTCTAATTTTCCATTGGTAAATATTGAATGAACAAAATTAAAATGTCATATTGCTTCTGAAATTTGTTATATTCCTTTTCTTGTTTTCATAGTAAAGCGATTTAGTTCTTCGAGAGTGCTTCAACTTATAAAGAATATAGAGTAATGTAGCTCCTTTGATGTACTACTTGAACACAGAAATACAATACTGAACTTCTTACTGGTATGGTTAGAGAGCAGTTCAAAAAGCACATGCACGAGACAGATCCAGAGAAAATTCAGAATCTCAAGGATGAGTAAGTTCCACTTTGCTGATATATAATTTGATAATTTGCTTATTGGTGAAGAATTACTGCCTTAACCATAAAAACTGGGGAAAAAAATGTCTAGAAAATGTTGTTTTTACTCTCCTTTTTGAGTTTGCTCATTGTTATGTGACAGTGCTGCGAGGGGATTGATAAACCACATGCTATACGAGTCTGAGAACTTGTCTGGGAGAAAATTCAGCAAAAGCTCGTCAACCTAATTCGCATCTCAACTTTGAACGTTTACCTGATAATTAATTAGTGCCCAACCCAAGTTTTGGTATTACAGAAGCTTTTGATGAGACGGATTTCTGTGTTGTTCAACACGAGGCGTGCTCTTGAAACTGGTTTTATGCATAAATTGCGAGAAGGGATTTTTGGCTCTTATTGAATTTGTTATGTGTGGCATCTTTGGGTTCATCGGTGCAGAAACTGTGCTTCTTGCAAAATGGATTTTTACATTCATTAATAAAAAAAATTGAACAATGGGTTTGCTTCTCGTTTTGTCAGTAGAAAATGCTTAAGAAATGGGTACAATTTCAAATGTATTAAAATGAATTTTTTTTTTAATCATATATGCTATCTAATCAATGGGAACAATAATGCCAAGAGTCTGAGCTGACTTATTGAAGTATCGTGGATAATCCACATACTAAAAAATTTCAAGAAACTGCAATTTTTAATAGTGAGAACATAAAATTGAATGACAGGTTTTTAATAATTAAGGGCCTTGTTTTGGCATTTATTTCATTAGCAGTAGGAGTAGGAGTAGGATGAACCAAACCGACCGACAACGATGAGTCAAGAAGACTCAAGAGACTTGAAATGCTGCCAATTTAATAAAATGTGATATAATTATCTGTAGCGATTTTTTACCGTGGTATTTTTGGGTTAAACCCCTTGAGTTTGCAGCAACTTCAAATTCATGTTTTGGGTCGGCGACATTGAACTTGTCTATTTGTATTTACCGCGACTAAATTGGATTAAACGAACCACAACTTATCTAACCGGATTCACAAACTCCACACTATTCCATTTATCCCTGTGTTTAATCATAAGATATACAGAGAAATAACTCCACACTTACGCCTCTTGCTTCGACGTTTGTCCACATTTCAGTAAGCCTTTTTTGCACTCTTGAGAGTTTTATTGTTTATACTACTAGTATTTCACCCGTGCGATGCACGGGGCATTGAGTTGTAACAAATATTTGATAATAAAAAAGTTCTTGAAATACTAAGATGAATGGTTGATATGCAATAACAAAGTAGTAGAAAAATATTTAATAAAAAACTATTTGGTATGATGTAAGTGATCAATTAAGCCAAAATAAGTGGAAAAGTTAAAAATCGAAGGTTTATTTTCCGTATACAAAGAGTGAATACATCGTTGGTCCCAAACTTGTACAACCATAACGACCAATAAATTCAAATTCTTAATTTGATGCAAACAATTATTGTTATTGCGTTTGATAACAACCGCCCTAACGCATGTATCCAATACAGTGCGAGTAACCTACATATTTTATATAGTGGTCATACGAAATATCTAATAATTACCAAAACAACAACAATATAAATGTTTAATGAAGTAAAATCATTTTACACTAAATTTACCTTGATAAAACATCTTGAGTGGAATCGATAGTAAGTTCATAGTACAATACGAATTACGAATAACCGTACATATAAGTAATAAAAAATTAAAGGTTGTTATTTAATAATGTATACAATTTTACATAGTTACCTTAATATATGCAGAAAAGTTTCCAGGTGTACCATTGTTTGTAACGTTGGTCGTATCGCCAGATTCCTATTTGATAAAAATCTTACATAAGGGTTATTTAATTGAACAGGTTGCACACCAGATTGGGATAAACAAACTCGATAAGATCCAAAAAATGAATTGAAAGAATCACGAATCAGCATGTCATCGGGAATTTCAATTCAAGTACTGTTTTATTAATATCAATCCTAATCATAATCCTCAATTTATTTTATGCTACACCCAATAAAATACACTGGGTAGATCTTTACCATTCATAGGCACATAAACACACAAACACACACATTGATGTGTGGATCAAAGGTAAAAAAATCACCCGGTATAGTCTTCATCGGCTGTAGCAGAGAAATAACTCATAATCCTCATACTAATGTTAATACTAATAATATTATTACATATATCATATTATAATGCTAACTTTAATATACTAATGTCAATACTAATACTAATATTAATATACCAATAACAATAACAATACCAATACTAATCCCAAAACAAAAACCAACACCAACACCAACACCATTACCATTACCATTACCATTACCAATAACATTATCATTACCGTTACCATTGCCCTTACCATTGCCGTTAAAATTGCCATTACTATTACCATTATCAATACTATTACCATTGTCATTACATGTACCATTATCAATACCAATAAAAATACTAATACCAATATCAATACCAATACTAATACCAATACCAATGTCAATACCAACACAAATACCAATACTAATACCAATATCAATATCAATACTAATACCGATGCCAATACCAGTATCAATACTAATACCAATACCAATAGAAATATCAATAACAATAAAAATACCATTATCAATACCATTACCAATACCATTACAATTAACATAACCCTTACCATTACTAATAATCGTAATCCTAATCCTAATTGAAATTATAATCATAATCCTAATCGTAATGCTAATGTTAATTATAATAATAATCATAATTCTAATCATAATAATAATGCTAATGCTAATCTTAATCCTAACACTAACTCTAATCATAATTCTAATAATAATAATAATACTGATCCTAATTCTTATCCTAATAAAAATCGAAATATGCTAATGATAACGCTATTCTTAATACCAATCCTAATATGTTAATGCTACTGCTAATCCTAATCCTAATTTTAATCATAATGCTAATACTAATACTAATACTAATTATAATCATAAAGCTTACCCTAATACTAATATACATACTAATATTAATCATAATATGTCAATGCTAATGCTAATATTAATGCTAGCAGAATACTAATATTAATACTAATACTAATACTAATAATAATAATAATACTAATACTAATACTAATACTAATACTAATACTAATACTAATACTAATACTAATACTAATACTAATACTAATACTAATACTAATACTAATACTAATACTAATACTAATACTAATACTAATACTAATACTAATACTAATACTAATACTAATACTAATTGTAACACCCCTTAATTTTTTATTATGAGGTATAATATTAGTTTATACATGTATATTATTGAAGTTTAAATACTAGAAAATAATTTAGTATAAATTATGTGACTTAGATGTTATTGATATATAAAGTTGGGGACTAAGAATAAATAAGGTAATTTACAAGGGCTGATATAGTATTAAGGAAGAGTTAAGGCAGATAATGATTCAAAATATTTAGACTTAGGCAGCAAGGATCTGACGTTTAAGAGGATAATTATAAGATTAAGTAAATTTTTAGGAGAAGACACGTATTAGACGAGGAGTCATCTTCTCCCTTCACATTCATCTGATCTACCCCATTCTTTAAAAACCCATTCTGCGTATCTCTTTTTACACCATCTCTCATCAAGTTCCTATCAAGAAATCACAAACAAATATCATGTCCCAAAATCAAGAAAGAAATCAAAGTAGGAAGAAGCTCATATTCAATCATCGAAGAAAAGATGGTGACTTGACGATCTTTCCGGCGGAGTTTTGGCGAGCGGGGTATAGGGCTCGAAAGCCCTCTGTATAAGCTTCGTTTTGGTGGAAGTTTCCGGCTTGTTTCTCCGGTGGTGATAGTTGTGATCCGACGGCGAAGTTCAGCTGATCCTAAAACCTTTCGGATTTAATTAGAGGTATTTAGAATTGAAATTTCGGATTTATTTCTTCACCAAAACTGTAGAATAGGTTGAATATTGTTCGAATGATTGATTTTCCCCAATTTGTTTAGAATCCTTTTTGGAACTGATTTTAATTCTACAATAGCTTCAAAGATTTTCGAAAATAAAACTTGTAGTTGTTACTCTGATTTTCGGAACAGAATTTGGGAGCTTTGGAATTCGAATTTTAAAATCGTTTCTTCTCAAACATCATAGATTTTCTGGAGTACGTTAATTATATGTTGAAGCTCGTTCCATATGATTGAGTTCTATAGGCTTTTTGAACGGAGGAATATGGGCGTTGAAAGCTGTCAATTCTGGCAGCTCGTATGATTAATCTTGTGGGGCTGTTTTCTGTATATTCAAGATATAATTTGAGTTTGATGTCTTCTGTCCATTTGTAGATGAAGTCGTTATGTTCGATTTCATATACTATTCGTTAAATTTGGATAACATTTCGAATTATTACGATTTTTCAAAAATACTGCCAGAAAAAGGATTTTGTAAATGCCGGCAGTTTATATTAACCTGTTCGGGGGCTGTTTCAACTATGTTATGCTCAAAATTTCAAAATGGTTTCTTCATTAAACTCTTAGATATCGTTCTTGGCTTTAATTTGGTATATCATTTGTTCTGTTTCGAAAAAAATGTATAGCATGTTATTAATTTTCAAATAAGTTGTACCAGAAATGAATTTTAAAATGTTTGACAGTCCTGTTATAGGCTGGTTTTTGGAAATTCTGCTATTTTTGGTTCAGAATCAGGGGTGAAAGTCTTCTGTGAACTCGTAGTATTATTTGTTAGCTTTCATTTGGTATATCATGTTAGCAATTTGGATAAACGTGGAATTTGTTATGAATTTTTGAATAAACTGTGGCAGCACATACGTTTTATTATTATGTTAAGAAAGTCGTCATATATGAACATATTTTATTGGTCTTCGTCCTGGTAACATAAACGTGATGGTTATGTGGTAAGTTTTGATGTTAGTTACGGGGTTAGATTAATTTAGAATTGGTAAGTGAATTAGTCGACCTTAAGAACATATAAAGCTAGGAAACGTAGAGTGTATATTATTTCATTTTAATAAATAATTTGGTGTCTTATAGTTTAAATATTGCTTAGGTCTTGAGATCGAGGAACCGTGATCGACGAGTACTCTTGATTGGACCAAGGTGAGGGTTCTCTTGCTCGACCTTTTCTGGGAATATGATAAACTCGGGTAATTGTATCGCTCGAGTACTTGAATTTTGCTCCCTTTCATTGAATTGATCTACTCGTTATCATTTGATTATCGTTATTTGAAATTGATTGGATGATGTTGAGCTTGAGATTATTTGAGAAATGCTATCTTATCGAGTGTTCAACTCTTTGATTTCCATTTCCTTCGAATAGTACTTATCGAGTGATCGGTATGAAATTCTTTGAAGCCGATCGTTTTCCTTCAAGTTTTATTCAATTATCTAAACTTCATATCTTGAAACATCGAGCCCTCTTTGAAACCTTTCACTTGATCCCATTTCTTCGGAATTCTTTTGTCTTTGAAATCCTGAAATAATCAGAATAATATGGTATTCTTATATGATCGATAAAGTCCTTTTGGGACGCCTAAAGGACAATGGATATTAATGGGCCCGGGGCTGTTTGGAGGTGACCGCTGGGCGGTATCGGGCCGACGGTGGGTAGTCTCTCCAACAGTACCCACATAGGTTTAGACCCGTACACAACTGGAGGTTAGTTGGGTTTCGGGCTAAACCGGCATGCGCCCGGGCATGCCACATTGCATTACAGGGTCATTCCCTGCTTGGTGAATAGTAAACGGCTACGGGAGTCACAAGGTAGGTGTATTCTTATCTCTATTGATCGGAAAATTTATTGATCATCCTTACTATTATTCTTGAATTTCCAATCGATGGATAATCTTTCATCGCTTCTATTTTCCGATATCACCAATTGGTTCGATCATCATACTTTCTCTCGGATCATGTCGTAACTCGTTATTCTTATATTTCACCTCACTAAGTCTTCTATGACTTATCCCTCTATTTTATTCTGTCATATTCTCAGACGCAGGTGCAGGCTCGAATGAATCAGGGGAATTCCAGTCTGAGTAACTACTTTGTATATATTTGTAAATTAGTGAATTGAATTAAGTTCCCAATAATCGCTGTCTTATATTATATATATCAGCGTTTGAACTTATTTATGTTATAGTATTGTAATCTCATAAGCTAGGAGCTGTTGTTATAATTATTCGGAACCTTTGTACTTTACCTTGCTAGAAGTGAGGTTGTTAATAAATAAATCGTACGTATTTTTATGAACTATAGTTTGATTAGTAATTAGTATTATCCATGAAAAAAAAAAAAATAGACCGGGTAATTTCATAGAGTAATTTGACAAACGCTTCATAGAAGGCGGGCGTCACACTAATACTAATACTAATACTAATACTAATACCAATACTAATACTAATACCAATATCAATACTAATACCAATACCAATACTAATACCTATATTAATACTAATACTAATACTAATACTAATACTAATACTATTACTATTAGTAATAATAATAGTAATAGTAATACTAACACTAATACTAATACTAATACTAATACTAATACTAATACTAACTAATACTAATACTAATAATAATACTAATACTAATAGTTATACTCATATTAATATTGTTAGTGATACTAATTCTAATACTGATATTGGTACTAATAATGCTATTGATACTGATAATAATACTAATACTGATACTGGTACTACTACTTATACTAATACTAATATTGATACTGATACTAATACTAATACTGATACTTGTACTGATATTAATATTATTGTTAATACTAATACTAATACTAATACTCATACTAATACTAATGCTAATAATAATAATACTCATACTGATACTGATATTGGTACTGATATTGGTATTGATACTGATATTGATACTGATATTTATGGTAATATTAATAGTAATATTAAAGGAATACTAATATAATATTAATATTAATACTGATACGCATACTGACACTCATACTAACACTCATACTAATACTGATTCTCATACTAATACTCATACTGTTATTCATACTAATACTGATAATAATAATACTGATATTGGTAATGATAATATAATACCGATATTGATACTGATATTTATACTAATACTGATACTGATACTAATACTGATTCTGAAACCGATATTGATAGTGATGTTAATACTGATATTAATACTAAACTAATATTAATACTAATATTAATACTAATTCTATTACTATTACTAATACTAATATTAATACTATTACTATTACTAATATTAGTACTAATACTAATACTAATACTAATATTTTAATACTATTACTAATACTAATATGTTAATATTGTTAATGTTAATGCTAATGTACTAATGCTAATACCAATTTTAATGTTAATTCTAATCTGGATATGCTAATCATTATGCTAATGCTAATTATAATTTTAATCCTAATATTATCCAAATCACTATCATATTCCTAATCCTATTCATAACATTAATCATAAATCTAATGGTAATCCTAATCCTATTCCTAACACTAATCATAATTCTAATCACAACCCTGATAATTTTAATACTAATAATGCTAATGGTAATGGTAATGTTAGTTATAATTCTATTTCTAATCTTAATTCTAATCATAATATTAATCCTAATGCTAATCATAAATCTTAATACTCATACATGTCACTAATTGTAGTACTAATCATAAGCATAATTTTAATTCTAATTCTAATACTAATATAAATCATAATCATAATCCTAATATTAATTCTAATACTATATTAATCCTAATTATAATTCAAATCCTAATCCTAGTATTAATACTAATACTAATTCAAAGAATATTAAGTATAATCCTAATAATAATCACAATCCTAATTCTGTTTTTGCATCATTTTTTTTTGCAATGATCTATTATTTTGTATCAAAAATAATTTTATTAAATCACGCGACCTTTATATCAATCCTTATGCATGGTAGCTGAAGCATCAAAAAATACATATTAAATATATTAGAAATTAATATTTAATTATATTATCAAAATGACATTAAAATTATTTAAAATATTATAAGAATATAAGAAAACGTTAAGACGTAAAAAGAACAATAATCATTGTTAATAGGATAAATTATGAAAATCCTCTTGAACTTAGGCTAAAGTATGAAAAACACCCCCACTTATCATAATTACCAAAATCCCCCTGATGTTTGTTTTTGTCTTACAGGAGCCCCTTATGGTGTGAGTTTTTACGGCATATTTTTCATTCCATGTAATATCCCAAAAAATGTGGATTCTACTCTTGCCGTCGTGAAATTTATTTTATCCTACTTTTTAAATACAAAAATTATCCTCAAGGGAGGTAATGGTAATACTTAAAAGTTCTGAATAAGAAGAATAAATATTTCGTGTAAAGTCCCCTGAGGGTAATTTTTGTATTTAAAAAGTACCATAAAGAAATGTCGCGTGTGCATGGTAGAATCGGCATTTTTCAGGGAATATTCCACGTAATAAAAAAAATCCATGTAAAATCATATCATTAGGGGGTCGATGTAAGACGAAAACAAACATCCGGGGAATTTTGGTAATTACGAATATGTGGGGTGTTTTTCTTAATTTAGCCTAAGTTCAGGGGATTTTTGTAATTTATCCTTGTTATTATACAACTTAAATTGATTTACACGTATGTTAGAAACTAACATAAAGGAAAGGCTGATGCTAATGAAAATAGATCAAATTTCAAGTAAGCAAAAGTCATTATCAAATGCTTATAAAAATAAAAATTAATTGGATTTTTGTGTAAGTCAGTCGAATATATTGTGATTTCAAAAAAGAAAAATAGAGATATAGAATAGATATTAGATTCTTATAAACTCATCTAAAAAAAAAAAGATTCTTATAAACCTTATAAAATATATACTTTTATTTTATAAATATTTAAAAAATGGAAATTAAGAAAATAAATATATCTTAATATATTTGATGGGGAATTAGAAAACTTAAGAATATTTCACTAATTTAGATAAATAACTTGTAAGTTAGACAAAAGAATTCATGCATTATGATATGAAAATATAGTGAGATATATACGGTGTTATAATATTTAATAATCAATTATTTACGCTATAATGTCCTACATTAATATTTTTATTTTCATATGGTTTAATTTAAAATTTTAATTTTAAAAATTAGTCAGAATATTAGTAGCTAAACATAATTATTTTGCCATGATAGGTTGTATATATCTTTACCAACAGTATAATGGATCATAGTAAATTTCGTATAAATTCGATTTGGTACCAATATCGTACCAAATGAAATGATAACCATTAATTTGGTATTTGTTCGATAAAATTTTGTTGGTATACTATGATACTTGATATTTGATAATTTGTTTCCATCCATAGCCACAATATTGCATCAAAACATTCTCAATTGGAAAAGACACACACATACTTATGCAATTACTTCTCATATAATTGTAGTCTTTTATGTAATATATAAATATCTTATTGAGTTTGTAACTAAAAATGGATCATAAAAACTACTGATTTGCCGATTGATATTGTATTTGTTAATGTTAATTATTTAAAAAGAGCACCTCGAGTGGGGTTTAAATGGACTATCAAAACTTTTAATCGCCACTTTGATACTAAAAAATAGTAATTTTTAATTCCAATAGAGTTATGAAATGATGATTGTATTTTAATATTTCATCTTTCGAATTGTAAAAATACATCATGCAGAATAAAATATCAAACATGAGTTATGAATTTAACCATCTCAGTGTCCATTTAGAAAATGACATGTGGCAATTAGATATACAAATCAATTTAATTATTTTTAATTAACAACAATATAATATATACATATGGTTGGAGCAAATACATTTAGATAAATATCAAAATAAAGTATTAATATCGCATAAATATTTGCAAACTCATTTTGATAGTTTTGGGTTGGAGTTACTCTAGATGTGTACTTAATTATATTTATCAGAGTGAAATAATCATTAGTGAAATACAATATATAGTATATACGATCATTATACATTTTAAATAAAACAATTGATATTCTTAATCTTTTTTCTTTGAAAGAGATATTACTAATCTTTGGTATTAAATAAGGTGAATAAACGAATAATACCAAAGATTTAGAATAACATTATTATATTTTGAAATATATAAAATCAATTCATATTCTTTTTTATCAATTGATTAAACTTAACTTATGTTATTCAATTTAATAGTATAATCATAAGAAAGTGTGTGTGTTAATTAGTATATAATTAAAAAAGTTAAATCAATCATAATTTTTTGTCACTCGATTCAGTGAAAAAAAAAAAGTTAAAACAATAACATGAAATTCAAGTAGTATAATTTTCAATATGGTAAATAATTGACAGCATGTTAGTGTACACATGACAGACAAAAAAAAATAGTGCTAATTTTCGCATTATAGTATGGTCATGTTCATGTAAAATGTATAATATCAAATGATTTATTCCGCAATATCTTTTTTAATATAAATCCAAGTTTATGAATTCAAATAAAAAAAATTATGTAACACCACCGGTTAAGGAATTATAATAAGGGAAGATTTGAAATTGCATTTAACTAAATTCAAATAAAATTAATTATTATTAAAATTAAATTAAATTAAAAAATAAATCTATTTAGAGTTTCCAAGGAAGTTGATATATTTAGAGCATTTTATAAATGATAGGATATAAATATATTAATAAAATAATTAAATATATTTAATTATCTTTAATTTTAGAAAATGGTGACATGTTTTTTGAAGATTTATTTTCACCAATCAATTTGCCACATGGGATGAAATTGAATACATGTCACCAATTGAAATTGCCAAAGGTCAAGCAATTGTGGATGAAATTCAATTTTTATATATTATATAACATAAGTTACATTAGATCTTATTATATAATGAAATATTACAATAAAACATAAACATGACGAAAAAATAAACATCCGTTGAACAAACTAAATGAATTTTTGTACAAACAACATCACGCAATTGTTATATAAATTATGGAAGGAAAAGAAAAAAAGAACACCTGACCATGTGCAGCATGAATTTTCATGTGAAAGTAAAAAAACACTATGTGGAGAAAGGATGCTATGGAATGGGTGAGAAGGGAGCGAGGGTATTATACTTAGTTCTCCGTCACCCATTTTCTAACCAAATCACGTAAAAGTTATGCTTTTTTTATATATAAAAATCCATCAAATATTTTCACCAATTGCAATGAAAGATCTACCAATTGAATAATTTGATAATAAAAGTTTATGAGAATTTCTTTTGTATATCACATGAGAAAAAAAAAATTTAAGTAAATTAAAGAGACATTTTTTTTTTTGCCTTTTTTCGCTCGAAATTAGGTTGTACTCAATTAGAATAAATGATATTCTAATTTTGTATAATGTATCTCGAAAAACAAAATCACCAAAAAGATGACCATTCCCTCATAAAATTTTAAAAAGAATATTATAGTAGTGTGCAGTGTGAATGATATATTGTGGTTTGAGGGTGAAAAATACTAAAATATTTTTTAGGGTGCAAAATGCCAAAAGACTAAATTTAAAAACAATTGCCAACTAACATATTACGGTAGTTAACATGAAGCATATTATAATGAATATGTATCTAAAACATAAATTTATAAAAATAATATTCGAAAATCCGCAAAAAAAATGACTATATTTTCAAAAACCAAAAAAACTCACTCGATTTGATTAAAAGTCAATATCGTTGAAACGTTTATATCAATTTACAAAAGTATTCTACCTTATTAACATATACTAACACTGCATTCTAAAACACAAACAAATCTAGCGATGGAGAAGAACAAAGTGTAACCATAAAGTGTCTCCTTAAATGAGTAAGAAAAATAAATAGAAAACAATAGAAGAAGATTTAATAGCAAGCGTCGTGCGCTCTCTCTCATCTCTTGCATGTGAAATCTTTAATTTTGTTGATAAATTTGATCAACATGTTCCTTCTATTATAACCAAAATAAAATAATTATATTGGTATTTATAACGGAACATTTCGAGAAAAAAATAATAAAAAAATAATAATATGTATCTAACGAACTAAAATAATAATTACACAAAAATAAACGTAAATCCCATAATTGAATACAAATATGAAAAAAAAAATATTGTGTTAACTCTATAGTGTTTTCGTGTGATTCCAAAAAGTAGGGTGTAGAGTATGAATGTGATTGAATGTCTTAGGATTGAGGGTTTTTATACTAATTTTCGGAGAATAAAAAAGTAAAAAAAAATGTTATGAAGGAAAGAGAGATTTAATGGCATATATTTAGAAGATAATTGAGGAAATTAATTTAAATTACACTTAGTGAATAATGACTAATTGACAAAATAATCAATTCATGTGATATACATTCTGAAAATAAACTTTCGGAGATTTGATTGTAAAAAAGATTTGATTTTGATATTTATAATATATAAGATATAAATAACATTATAAAAAAAATGAGGATAATTAATTTTAAATTAAGCATTCATTTCATTATTACAATTTACAAAAATTAGGTATTAATACATAAATATTCATTGATGTTGATTTTGTAAGGAAATATTTTTAATGTTTAGTAATTATGGAAATGTGCGTTGAAGAGCTTACTAAATATTTAAAACCAATGTAAATTGATTTGATTCAAATTATCTGTAGAAATAATTGACACCACTTATTACACAAATCCGGATAATTTATTTTATTTTGGGTTGAGTTTTCAATTTTATTTTGAAATTGTAGGATTTTTAATCCGGAAATATAGTTAAAAAAAAATCAAATTCTATAATGGGCGGCAATCTATAAATCGGAGTTAATGACAATTATTAGTTAAGCACATTCTATGAAAATCAAAATTGAATATTTTACATATTAAATTAATATGATAAATATTTTAATTGATATTAATTGATTACGATTAAAGTTGATACCATGGAATATGAAAAAGATTTTAAATATATTTGGTAAATTGTTATGACATAAGATATTATTTCCATGTTAAAATACCAATTAATGATCCGGATAATATTTTTGGCAAGTTTAGCCTAATCATCAATTAATGATGATAAATAAAAATGGAAGATATCAAAGTAATAAATAATGACATGTGTAAAATGAGTAGGATGCCATGTAGATTCACACGTGTCAATGACATGGATGCCAAATGTCGGATTTCTAAGGTATGAGGGTTTCAATTTATATATTATATAGATGCTAATGCCGAATTAGCTGATTAAACTGCAGTTATCTGTTGAAAATTAGGAATGATCGTATTAATTTAAATATAGATTGTTCGAGGGGAGTGCATTGAGTACTGATGTCATGCTAACAGTTTATCATGTGCAGTGAAAAACTTGAACAACTCCAATTTGAAGAAGGCAGCAATCACTCCATTGAACATTTCTTGCTGGAGAAGGTACAGTGGCAGCACGAGTGGTCTTTCACCCGAAAGCTACCGTAGTCAAAGTCACCATATCCTTCAAAATAGCGGACTTCAGCACCATTTCAAGAATTGGCAAAACTTGAGAAAGCATAAACTAACAGCAAGTACTTTTGCCCTAGCAGTTGGTTTTTGGCCACGTGGACGGACCAAATTATGGCTGGAGAAGATCGGAACAAACGAACCCTTCTCTGGCAACCTAGCTACATGTTGGAGCAACATTAACGAAGAGGAAGCACTCAAAAGATATATACAAATGTATGAAGATTACGGAAATAGGTTGTTATTTATATCAAAACCCGAATTTCAGGTCTATGGGAAGAACAACCCTGAAGATAATTGGCTCGCAGCTTCACCTGACAGAGCTATCGACGGATCTAAAGACAAAACTGATTTTTTTTGGGATCGAACATAGCCTTCCCATGGAAACGAGTGCCTCTGCATTACATCCCCCAAGCTCAGGGTTTGATGGAAATACTCGACCGTGATTGGATGGACATGTATTGCTACACGGTTAACGGGAGTAGTTTGTTTAGGTTATACCGAAATCAAGAGTATTGGAAAATCTTGAAGATAGCGTTGTCTGATTTCTGGTGGAACCATGTCCAGGCAGCAAAGGAGATAATCAGTACAAGGGTGATTACCAATCCGCTTACCGAACTAAGTTGTCTAAGGCCAACCCCTAAGCACGAACTTCATCAGTGCATTGTGCATGCAAGCAAGCTGCTTTTCTATGGGGAATTCAAGACCAAGATATAATTACAGCAGAAGAGCTATATGATGGAGGGCCTTGATAATACACAGCAGATTCAAAGCAATATATATATACTTACATGTTTGTTTTACATACATGGTTAGTGTCAACTCTATTTAGGTTCAGTGTTGCTCTTTCGGGTTTCGGGCTTCTTGGCTGCTAAATGTAAATTCTTTTTTATAGGAATTAGGCATCGAGGATATAGGATACGCACGGCATAGATACGTATTGGAAAGTCGAGGAGAATTTTTGAATTCCGGAAAAAGATTCGATCTTGGAGCAATGTTTTTCATTCTGAATTCATTTCCGATTTCCGATTTTTTTTATTGGAATAGTGTACTATTTATAGAGTTCTTAATTTCAATTCCAAGAGCTGGGATTTTTTTTTGTTCGAAAATTGTATTTATAACATTAGGAATATTGTGTATTTTATAATATGCCTGAGGCGGCCGTTATATGCAAGTCCATTTTTTTATTAGTTCAAAACCACATAAAGGAGTTTATTAGTTCAAGCCCATAAAATAATCTAATTTTATTACATCAAGACCAAAGATGACAAATAGACCTTTATCCACAAATAATACTCAAATACAAATAAATCTTATTTTTAATTTGTTCAAGACCAAAAAAAAAAAAAAAAAACAAAACAAAACAAAAAAGAAATATCACGACGGCTAAATATTAATCTATGCTAAATATGTATGAACGAACATTAATCTATGCTTATTTCTTGTTGGGTTGCAATGATTTGGCCGATTTTGGAAAAAAAAATTGAGATTGAAATTGGTTTTTTTATTTTTTTCGTTGGTTTCCCAAATCGGTTTATCCAGACCGATTTTGTACACGAAAATCGGCGTCATAATACCGATTTTTGTTAACCAAATCGGCGACACAACGTCGACTTTACAAGTCAAAATCGGCGTTCTAATGTCGATTATTGAGTACAAAATCGGTTTTCGAATACCGATATTTTTTGAATTTTTTTTTTAAAATAATACATTATATATTTGGTTAATTGATATTTTTTAAATATTTGAAACAAAAATGTTTATCACCATTCGGTGGCGTCTACCACTCCTTTAACTCAATCGAGTAGAGCTTTTCGTATCTCAATTATTTATTCGTTAGATAATTCATTTGAATAATCCTCCATCAATTCCCTAGGTTGATGTACGAAAGTATGAGAAAACGGTCTTAAAAAAACACAGATAATAAAATCGGTATTTAAAAACCGAATTTTGTAGTACAAGTCGGCATGACAATACCGATAATAAAAAAACAAATCGGTGTTGTCATGCCGATTTTTACTACAAAAATCGGTTTTTAAGTACCGATTTTTATTAAAATAATCGGAATGTGGTTACCGACTTTAGTAACAAAAATCGGTATTTGCAGACCGATTTTTGGTATCGTCGAATTTTTTTCCCAACAAAAAAAAAACGACCCAAAAGCAAAAATAAACGGTTAAAACATATTTCATTGTGTTCTCCACCCTCGTAAACCACCATATCATTGTTTTCTGGTTCCATCGTGAATGTTTGGTATGCATTTGATAATTTTGGTGTGTAGGATTTCTTGGTGGATTTCTTGATATTTATAAACCCTAAAATCCGTAGAGAACCCCTCTTTCGAAGATTCAAACCCAGAATTAATTCCGGCATTGATCCAGAAAGATGAGCTCATACATGAGCAAAGTGTTCCCCAGATCCAATTCGAGGCCAAAGTCGTCCGCCTGAGAGAAGAAATGTACCTCGTCGACGCCGGAATCGGCCGCCCCAGAATCGCCAACAAGCAGGAGCTCATCAAACCACCCAAATCCAGCCGGGTCGGGTTCCTCACCCCGTCGAACCGGGAGACGCCGTCGTGCTCCAGCGCTGCTTCGTCTATCTGGTCACCGGCGATCCCCGGACCAAGCAGCAGGCCGCCACCAGGTTCGACGAACGACGCCGCCGCGTCCGGCGGCGAGCAGAGGTTCAGGAAACAGCGCGCGTGGGTGGAGCTGAAGAACACGTGGAGGTCCAATTCGAAAGTGAGAGGAGGGTACGCCGTAGCTGTAGCCGGCCAAATTGCGTTTCTTCCTGCTCGGCCCAGTGATCGGTTTATTATCGAGAGCATCACCCCCAAGAATTTTGTTGTTGCCAAAGCTTAACAAGTGATGATTTTTCGGTTAGATTTTCTATTAAAATCCTCTTCTTTTATTTTTTACATTCGAATTTGTGTTGTTTCGATTTGATTTCCTTCTGTTGATATTGATTTGGAGTTGATTTTTAGAAAATAAAAATAAAAATGCTGGCCAAGGGTGTTTGTAGTTGATCTTTGTTCGTATCCGAAATGAAGCTAAATAAGTTGGAAACAAATGGTCGTTTTTTTATGCATACAAATGTTGCTTATATGATTATCCATTATTGATATTATGCTGTGTTTAGCTCTAGTGTCTTGATTTTTTTTTTTTTTTAACTATTTCAAGAACTATGGTGCGGAATCTTTCGATTATTTTAATGGAGTGGAATATACCTAAGTTGAGGAAAGATGGCAACTTCCTGAAAAAAATCGGATTGCTTAGTATCTACGAAAGAAGTGAAGAAGATTGCTGCAAGATTCTTGCTCATAATTACCCATATCAGCATATACAGCGAAATTAATACAGTCGGGACTAGAGACATTCTATTAATTTAGCAAATTATTAAATTTATCGAGTTAATAATTTAACACGCCGAGTCGGGACCGAGAGAAACTATTATTTAATCAAGGTTATTAAGTTATCGTGGTTCTACTGCATATATATAAACACATGTTGTAGATTTACACACAATCGCATACATACACATGTGGATAGGTGTGAAATATATGTTGAATGTTTACATATGCGGTAGGCTTACACGTGGTGACGTTCACGAATAAACCAACGTATAGTGATGCTTGCTAATAATCACGTATTAACGAAGTTTAAGGTTGTTGAGATGTTTGTAGAAAGCGAATTTCTTCTTCCTTGATACATATTTTGCTAATCTTCTTTAACTTCGTCTTGTAATTTTCATGTGCCACATTATTGGGTTTTTCGTCTGCATTGACTTGAGATTGAAATTACTCGGACCACCATTGTAGTTTGCTATGTAAATATCATGCCGGTTTTCTTGCATATTTTTTCCCTTTTTTTCGAATCTCGTCTCTCGAATAGAAGCTAAATGTTGTTATGGGTCATGCCTTAAAAACGTGTATATGCGTATCATTTTGCCAAATTAACATAATGACATTATACACTTGTTCTTTGTGCTGTGGATGTCGAAAATCCTCGTTTATATACATCTTAGTACTATGTTCCTATGGATTGATGACAATCAGACAAATGGTTGAAGAAAATTTTCAAAATTGCATTTTATAAGAAATGGAGAAACAAATCATAAAACTAGGGAAATTTCGGAAATTATTAATATTAGTAATAAATTTAAAATAAATACAAATATGCCGTTAGAGTTTCTTAGTTGTGCCTTTTTTTTTACGTTTATATATAAAGATTACGTATCTCGTTGCAAATCCATTCAATTTTGTTGCAAGGTTCCTGGCTGTAGTTACTCACATCAAATTGTTTATTTTCTTTATTTCTCTTGCTTTATTTATTTTTCTTTATTTCTTTTTCAGTAAACCGTTATATATTGGCTTCATGAATCCATATCCATTACATGGGAGACAAGAAGACCAACATTACATCAAATTAGTGGTCCACATCGAAAAGTTAAGATAATGTATTTTTTGGGAAAAAAAGAAGATATTGGAGAACAAGTAATATTTAGAGTTAACTGCAAAAAATTCCCTAAACTTTGGACGTTTTTGCGCTTTACCCCCTGAACGGAAAAAAGTTGCACGAGCATACCTGAACTTGTTAAATTGTTGCACCGATGATGAAAAAATCCATTTATAGCAAAAATTCGGCCTGAATTGCACACGTGCAACTCACACGTGATAATGAAGGGGCAATTTCGTCGATTCACAAAACTTTCAGATAAAAGAATAAATAAAAAAAGAGAAAAGAAAAAGAAAAAAAGAAAAAGGAAAAAGAAAAAAAAGGGAACACAGCCCCCATCATCTTCGATTCTTCGTCTCCCTGTTGCTTCAAAACAGGGGAAGATTTTCACACCACAGCCACCACCATCTTTCCACACCACAGCCACCACCATCTTTCCACGGCCGCCGCGCCATCTCTCTCCACCGCCTCCGCACCACCATCTCTCTCCACCGTCGCCGCACCATCATCTCTCTCCAACGCCGCCGCACCATCATCTCTCTCCAACGCCGCCGCACCACCATCTCTCTCCACCGCCGCCGCACCATCTCTCTCCACTGCCGCCGCACCTCCATCTCTCTCCACCGCCGCCGCCGCACCATCTCTCTCCACCGCCGCCGCACCATCTCTCTCCACCGCCGCCGCACCACCATCTATCTCCACCGCCGCCGCACCATCTTTTCTCTTTTTTTATTTATTCTTTTATCTGAAGAATAAACACAAATGAAGATGAAAATCACTGGGTTTTTTTTCTCCATATAATTTCAAACCTTCAATCACAATTTCACAAATTACAATTTCAAAAAAAAAAAAAAAAATCAGTTTACAGTTCTTCAAATCATCCATTATTAATTCTAATATGAACTTTAAATTTTAAAAACCCTCCTAATCAATTAAATAATTAATCAACCAACCCTTTTTTCTTCACAGAGTAATGAAACATTAAAAAAAAGAAAAAAAAAAAAAAAGACAATTAAAAAATCATAAATTCTTACAAGCATAGATGATGAAAGAGAAATCAACTTTATCAAGATCCTTCTGCACCATCTTCTCTTCCAGCCACAACCTGCTATCCAATCCACTCCTTGTCATGAACATAAACACCGCATTTCCCGGTGCACCGGGATTATAAAACCAGTCAATCACATCCCACATTAAATCCACAAGCAACCCATCCAAGAATATCGTTTTTCAATTCTCTCAATAATTGAACTATTTCTGTAAAAGAATTAAGAAAAGAAGAGAGGAGTTGTTTGTTTTGTTGCATCTTTTGGTTGGGGCTGGTGTTGATGGGAGGAGTTTGGTTGGGGATGATGGTGACGGGAAGAAGAGGCGTTTTTTTCTTTTTCTTTTTTTTTTTTTTTTTTTTTTAAGATTTATTAAAAAGATAAGAAAGTATATGGGTGTAAAGGAAATGACTCATTTACCCCAGCTATATACACGTGTAAGGCACGTGACTCGGATTCCGGTCAATTTTGGCCAAAAATGGACATTTTGGACATTGGTGCTAAAAATAATAGAGTTCAGGTATGCTCGTGCAACTTTTTTCCGTTCAGGGGATAAAGCGCAAAAACGTCCAAAGTTTAGGGAATTTTTTGCAGTTAACCCTAATATTTATGATCTGGATATTTTAGACTATAATGATTATGATGTTTCACTATATTTTACACAAGGGAAAAGTAGATATGTGACTGAGGTAAACATTGGCTATATGGACTCGGCCAAATTTCTCACACCACTTTACTATTTTACATATTCTCAATTATGCCCTTCAACTACTCACTCCAACAATTTAGAGAGGAAAAAAAAAGTCAAATATCGTTCCTCTCTCTCTCCGCTGCTGTAGTTATCGAAGTCTGCCGGCACCGCCTTCGACCTTCCGCTAGATGACGAGGAGCTCGTGAAACGCATCGTAGTCTCTGGAATTGGGGCTCGCCGACTGCTATAAGGCTGCGAAAATCCACCGAGAGGCGGTGCACGGCTGAGTGGGTTTGCGTTTGGAAGGGTTCGATTACGACTCCTTTAGGGGCTTTGCTGCGAGATGTTTGTGTGGTTTATGTGCAGATTCCGATGGGAATAGTGTGTCTTTACGGCGATGGAAGTGGCGACGACGGCAAAATGTTGGGTGTCTTTTATCTGTCGTTTCATCGGTTTTCTTTCCTTACCTTGCCATAAATCGGATGGCTGCGGACAATGCAATAAATCGGATGGCCGTGTCTTTTCATCGGTTTTCTTTCCTTGCCTTGCCATAAATTGGATGGCTGCGGACAATGCAATAAATCGGATGGCCGCAATTGTCACGCATATCGGAGCGGGCTACAACGAATTGGAACAACATGAATCGACTAATTTACTTCTCCAGCTCTCAAACTCTCAAACGATGATTTAAAGAGATCTCAAACTAGGGGTCTTCACTTTTAATTAAAAGTTAAAAAAAATTAAATGTAGTTTGATTTGGGGCTAGGAAACGACATTTTCAAAATTTACAATCTAGTCCTAATTGTTTTTTATTTCTTTTAAAGTAAAAAGATAATTTCATAACCTACAATTTCACCCATAATTCTTATTCTCTCAACATTGATAGAATTGTTCCAAAATTAGAAATTAATAGTAAAAACTTGTTCTAATTTTTTTGCATTTTAATTCCCGTTCAATGTTCCGGCGAACCATGATTCATTAACAATCCCGAATTCATTCCAGAAAGGAAAAAATAGTGAATGAGCAGAGCAATCAACCAAAATCAGTACATTACAATTTGTTATTCTCTTAATTTACATCAACAACTCCATTTCCCATCACAAATCAATCCCACAATACTACAAATTACAAAAACACCACAAAAAGAAAAAAAAAGGGCTAACTAATTAATTACTGTTTTTGGCTCATATATTAAAAAAAAAAAAATTATCTAGAAGAAGATGTGTTGAAGAAGAAGATACGATTGAAGATCCTGGAACAAGCGGATCTAAGACGAGGGTACACCCTAAGAGTGTGCGCACTGGATTCCTTCCACACATCTTCAATTATCTCCACAAACAGATTCAAGCTTCTTATCGGTGGTATGTACAGAGTCAGCGGCACCGCCGAAAACGCCACCGCGAAGAACAAGTGCAGCATCTCTCTTATCAATCAATCAATCAATTATTGCAATTGCAAACCCAAAAAAATCTGAGAAAAGATTTTTATTGTGGATTTGGTGGAAGAATGAAGGTTTGAATTATTTGGGATTTTTTTTTATTTTTTTTTGAATAAAATATAATACAAGGTGGGGAACTATGAAGTATTTATTTTATTATTACTTAATTAATTAATTATTAAAGAGAGGAAATTATGAAGATAGAATTAGAGGCCACGATATTGCGTGGGAAGTCAGCTACTTGTAATTTCTGGGAGTCCGCAGAATTAGTGACCGTTCATCTTCCCCTTTGGTGCCACCTAGGATAAGTTAATGTTTTTTCTAGAATGTTCCTATCTTTATTGTGTTTAGTTTTTTTTTCCCTTTTAAATTTACACTTATAAATGATTAAAACAATACTCACAAAAGTATGAATGACAATTTGCCCCGCCCAGCCCCGACCTGAAATTTCACTCGATGGTTATCCACGAGTACTCATGGGAATTTTATGGATGGTTTCGGAGATCTCAGTTCATCTAATTTTGAAAAGAATGAGGATTTGGAATTCTAGAGTGAGGCAGGACGTGGATTGCAAGACTCGCCCCATTGCCATCCCTACTCGAAAGATTCAAGTTATTAATAATAGCAGAGCTAGCATAGAACAATGGGATTTGGTTTTCATTGATTAAAAAAAAAAGGAAAATCAATATTTCAATAGAGGTGTCAATGGAGTCATGTTCGAATTCACTAACAACGTTTTTTAAATTGAATTTATCACAGATGAGTTATACACATAAATAAAGGTTTAACGAGAAATATATGTATGAGTTTGATTTATGAATTACAAACATGGATAAGAAAAACATATTATTTGAATAATGTAATTCATAAACATAAAAAAACATTGAAAATCACTATTCAAGATTAAGGATAAACTTACAACTCATTCCTCAATTTTTTTAGCTAAACCAAATAACACCCCTATCTACTAAAAGTAAGGACAAAATGCATTTCGCCCCCTAGAAATTTTTAGTTTTCGCTTTTTCTCTCTATAAATTTAAAACTGAGACTCTTTCCCTTCCAAATTTTTTTATAGTTGCAATTTCCATTCTATTTTTTTTTATCGGTTTTTTATTTTCGTCAACTTGAAGGGCATTTTCGTATGTTCACCAATCTCACCCAAATATTAATGTCGTTGAAAACCAGATGTTAAGATGGGTTCTATGTTTGCTGGTGCATCAATATCGATCCAAGCTGTAATGGGCTGGATCTTTCGCATTGTAAATCGAGGTTGCTGGAGTAATTGAACCTCGGCATAAAATGCAACGGCGCATGCACCGTGTTTCCTCTGTCGTCGCCGCTGTGGGTGTTGGTGAACGGGCACATCTGGTCTGCCTCAGATGGGGCGGAGGATGAGGGGGTGTTGCCATCGCCATTGGCTGCGGTCACAGGGAGCATTTAGAATGTGCTGCCGGAAACGATAGTGGTCGGCACTGGTGGCGTCATAACCCACATGGCGGTAGGCGGCATCATATTAGCATGCCCTCATTAAGCTTCCCGGAGATTGGCCGGTGGCCACCAACGCACAATGGAAGGAATAAATTGCGGATTTTGATTGCGGGACCGACAGAGTTGAGCCGCTGCTTACGAGAGAGATGTTTAGGCATGAGAAATTGGCATGAATTGTGTCGGTACCAGTGGCAACTATAATTTTGGGGTGGGGTTGGTGAAATGACAAAAATGTCCTTCAAGTTGAAGGAGATATGAAAAAACGGTGAAAATACTCCGGAAAGTCTCATTTGGAAGGGGAGAATTACATTTTTGAATTTGTAGGGAGAAAAGTGCGAAAACTAAAAATTTCTAGGGGTAGAAGTGCAATTTTGTCATAAAAACAAAGTAACAAAATAAAAATAAAAGATTATTCACACTGAACTACAAACAGTCTACTCTATTCCTTTCATTTCATGCTTCCCAAATTCCGAATTAACAAAACCTGCTAATAAATGGCTTCGATTGTCGAGATTCAAAAATACAACTGTTAAAGGCTAACGGAATCTATCCTGCTGCGGCGACGAGGCCAGGTCGTTCCTTGTCAACCCCGGCGATCCCTCCGACTACAGCGGCCTCCTGAACAGATGCTACGTCGTCGTTTCTGTAAACGCACCTCCCCTCCGCGTCTTCGATCCTCACTGCCGGTGGCCGCAGAGCGAGGTGCGTTCGTACTTTATGCGAGGTTGCCCCCTTTTGCAATTTTAGCGGGAAAACGAGAAACCCTCTTCTCCTCTCTTCCATTTGAATTTTAGTGTTTTTTGCGGGAAAAAAAATGTGGACGACGGTGGGGCTGATTTTCGCCCGGAATGAAAATTACTGATTCTCTTGGAAACTGAAGTATGGTTTGGAATAACTGATGTGGTGTGGAAACAATATTAACTAATTAACGGTTGCACCAAATATGTTACTATGATTTGATGATCTCTCTGCATTTGTTATTACAAACTCAAGCGATTCTAGCTATTTTTTTTTTCAGATTCGTTTATTGTAACTTCATGAGAATCTAGGGATGCTTTAGTAATAATGATCCTTTCTTTGTTCTTCAGATTGTCAGAAGATCCATTGAAATGATACTGAGTGAAGAACCTGCGTCTTCAAATTTGATCTGCTGCGATTACGATGAAGTCAGTATTCTACATACCGTTTGCTTGTTGAGATTCATTAATCATGTGTTTGAATTTCATCTTTTCGGAATTCATCTCTCTCTCTCTCTCTCTCTCTCTCTCTCTCTCTCTCTCTCTCTCTCTCTCTCTCTCTCTCTCTCTCTCTCTCTCTCTCTCTCTCTCTCTCTCTCTCTCTCTCTCTCTCTCTCTCTCGAGCTGCAAATTTATGACATAGTTTGTAGATAAATCTCTATCTCTCTCTCTCTCTCTCACACACATAAGAATGTGAATTGATGAGCTGGCAGGACACTCGCTCGAGTGATGTGGTTGATATCCTAACTTCCTCAATTTGGACACTCCTTCTAAAGAGAGTAAGTAACCGAGACGGCTTATGTTAATACTATTTAGCTTTGAGTAGTACGTGCACATTGAAAATGATTAGGCAACAACGACAAATTTTTTTCAGGTCGGCGATATTCTGATGGTGTATTTGTTAAAGTACACTTCAATATTTCTGCCTCTGCCTCGAATGAAGCACCGTCAGATTACCGGTGACCCCATCAACAACCTCGTCCCCTCGGTGGGGTTGCCTTTCTCTAAATCTCAGCATCGTCCAGTTGCGCAAAATGGTAACTTTATCGAACATTGCAATTTTTTATTTATTTTTTCATAATTTCTGATATTCGAAATACATCAAGCTAAGTTCTCTTGGAACGTAACATGGCATTTACATTGTTTAACAATGAATGTTGGGAGTCATTATTAAACTACGTACAGTAGAACCTCGTTAAATTAATAACCTCGCTTAATTGATAAATTCTTCCGATCCCAACTCGGTGAGAACATGCTAAATTGTTAACTCGGTAATTTAATATTTCGCTAAGTTAATAGAATTTCACTAGTCTCGACTCCCGAGACTGTATTACTTTATAGAGGTTTAACTGTACATGTCATATACATTTTATAAAGGTGCGTGAATAAGATGTGACGACCTAATTGCAATTAGTGGTTTATATGTATGTGGAGCGTATATTTTCATAAGGTTTATTCTCTTTAACTTCTTTCAGGATCTGCGAAGAAGAGGAAAAGGGTCGAAAGGGTTAAGCCGATACCAGTGAAGAAGCTTTGCACATCGTCAAACTGTGTTGAGTCAACCGCAGATAATGGTAAGGTTGACTTAATTTGAAGAGTCTGATACTACTAACTAAGATACGACTTTCAGAAAACAATCGTCTGATACAGTTGGAACGTCTGCAGGATCTAGTTGTCTTTCTAGTGAAGAACTTTCTCCTAGAAAACGTGAAGAAAGTACATAGCAAAATACTGTTTCATCTCGCATAAGAAAGCGTAAACGAGATTTTTGCTGGCACCGCGGACTAAAACGTAGGCAGTTGGTTGTTCGAGGAACACATTCTTTGATCCCATGTAGAGTAAATAGTCGCGATATTGAGCGTCAAAATGGCATCTGCACAAGTTCTGTTAGAGTAGGTGACCAACAAGCCAACTTGTGGCTATGGTCTTTCTCTTTTTCCTTGTAATAAAACAATCGTTTTTCGTTTGTAATAATAAAACATTTCATTTGGCATTCTATATCTCTTATCCCATGCAAGCAACATAGATATAGTCCTAACGAGTTACTCTATTACTGTGAGTTGATCTAGTAGAATCGTGAGATAACTCAGCAATGTAATGTAACTGTTAAACCTTGTTCCTAGTCGATGGGTTACGCCAATAATGAGGATACCGGCCTTTCCCGTTTGAGACTAGCACTTAGTGTATGTGTACTGCGTCTCATCAGTCCTTGGTGTTGTGACATCGGCATACTTGAGTGGGTGCTCATACTAGATGAGTTCACTGAACTCCCTCGCCCTAGAAATCTATAAGTGGTTCTCATTCATCGAGTAATAGGTTTCTAAGATATAGTTGTACACCATTAGTCCTTAAGACCCAGACATCACCGTGACTTCACTAGAGGACCGATTGTATCCTGACCTGTCCCTGAGTCCCACAACGGACCGCTCCAAGGGCCAACGCTCGTGCAATCCGAAATCTAGTGTGAAGTCTGTGCATTGTAGTAGGGGATTCGAGCGCTTGAGTAGTCATGGATGTCCTGTACATGTGTGTTATGACGGTTTATAATCCAACGAAGCTCTGGCCAGACTTGATAGTGGGGTGATTAGGGAAATGTGTTTCCCTAAGTCGCACACGAATGGATTTATAATACCTAGAACGTTCGGACGGTTATTGAACTTTATAAGAGGTCTCGGTGAACCAATGCATCTAGTTCAATCGGGACATGTGCTGCGAAGGGATCGTACTGTACGCTAACTATATCATAAGGTTCTTGCAGGCACTTCACTTGTATCTAGGGAATCATGATGCGTAGTTGCTAGACGCCAATCTTGATTCGTTGGGCACCGATTTGATCGGGGATTAGGTAAAATGAGTTTTACTCTAATCGGGACTCTTGGGAGGAGTTTGTATAAGAACAATGTGTTGTTCGAATCACAAAGAGTTGTGAGCCCACGGCTAGCATACACCTGAACCATTGAGGGTCACACTTCTCGTGTAATATAGATCCTTGATAACAACAAGCATAGATTAATGTGTTAATCTTTGAACGATTGGATGTCGATATGATTGAATCCAAGATTCGTAGTTGTGGATTGCGAATCGGAATAAACGTAGAGAAAGAGAGACATGCGGATTTTAGTGAACTTTCTAAATTGGGAAGTTTCCCGATTTAGCAAGTCCACTGAAGTGGAAGTTTCCAATTTTGGAAATTGGAAATTTCGAAGAGGCACTCGTATCGACGAGGACTTTGAGCTCGTCACAAATATAATTTTGTGAACGATCGTTTATTAGAAACGAGGGCGACGAGGGAATGGGCTTAATACATCAGTGGGTCAAGCCCAATGACTTAAACCCACTATGGTTGAAAACCCTAAGTATATATAGATCTCAAACAAGAGTTTGAGATCAGATTTTCTGCACCAAACCCTAGCCGCTCATCCCTTCGGCCGTTGCTGCCCCGCCGCGCCACCGCCGATCACCGCCGGTTTTCTCCTCGCTTCTTCTTCGTTTACTTGTTGTTTATCTAACTCGTTTACATCTAGTGCTGTAGTTCGAGTGGGTCGAAAATACGAGGTGAAACCTAATTGGAGAGGAGCTGCTGCCCCGACGAATCCACGCACCGCCGCTGCACCGCCGCACGCGCCGCTACGCCGCCCACGCGCCGCCGCTACTGCTGCCACGTACCGCCGCTGCTGCTGCCACACACCGCCGTTCGTTGCTTGCTGGATCAGCTTGTTCCAGCCGTGAGTTGCAACCCCGAGGATTGGTAATTTGCAGCTTGTACGTGATTGGTTCTAGGTTTCGATTCGTCGAAATCTCACGCTACAAGAGGTAAATAAATCGAAACTTTCGTAAATTAATTCGAGCATGTTTGTATGAATTATAATTTATGATTATGAGTAATATGTTATTACGTGTTTCGATTTTATTGAATGATGAACAAGCATGTTTCGTAATTTTCGGTTTTACGTGTTTTTCAATTAAATCGATAATTACCATATGTATGGCGGAAGCGTTAAGGTACGTTGACTATGTGATTAGTTTATGCATGTAATGTAGCACCCCCCTTAAAGACGGGCGATAAATCGAACCGGTTTATCGGAATATTTATTAAAATAGCGGAAGCAAAGGATCTCTTTGTAAATATTGAAACATTGGGATGGGGCGAAAATGCAATTAAAAAAATATCTTCTTTTGGGTATTGAAGGCTTTGCATTTTCAAAAGAAAACTTTGTTGGGTTACTTTGGCCGAATAAAAGCTTCGTTTGGAAATAAGTTTCGAGGGGAGGTTTCTCATTCGAGTGCTACATTCTCACTAATCATTTTTCGGTTCGAGAAGAAATCAGAGTTCAAAAAGGTTATTTTGGTGAATAATTCGAAAATTCCTAGCGAAGGCATGAAAATAGTAAATTGCGAAACTTACTATATTAAAGTAGGAATTAAGTACGAGTCATAACGAAAATGAGTTCAAAAGTACGAAAAGAAAATGTTACGGTTTTAGGTTACACCACCAAAAGAAAATAACCAAAAGTCTAGCATCGTTCATAGGTCCTCGTACGTCTTCCAAAACTCCGGGCAAGACCTCGATCCACTACTCGATCCATCCCGGTTGAGGATTACTACTACCTGCAATTAAAAGACATCCATATGAGCTATAAAGCTCAGTAAGAAATCCGAGTAATACCGAACTTTGGAAATACGTTATACATAATATATAATATTGTATACCCGTTCTTACCCACGTTTCGCACAACAACACAAGGCAATCGGTCACATCACATATCTCACGAAAACACATCATTTCACAAAATCACGTAATCATGCAAAATGACTAAAATGCCCTTTTTGTAAAAATCATGAAAAACATATTTTTCAGTTTATCGGATCCGTGAAAGATTAATTTCTGTACCGGGTAATAAACCTGTTACGAGCCCGTTTTCACTAAGTGGAATCAAACCACTACCACATCATCCTAGTTGGATACCGGCCCACTATATCCGAGGTGTTTATTATCCGATATTCCATTAATCCTTCAAATAAAAATCATTTTAATGCAACTTTTCGAAATAATGCTATAACCCACACATGACATCACAAATATCAATCAAGTGCCACAAATCTCACAAATATCACAATTTACCACACATTTATGATTTGGGCAAAAATCCCAAATTCACACACATAAACACACAACCACACACGGCACACACACCCTGCACAATCAGCACCCACACATTCACACATTTTTAGCACACACACATGCACAATCAACACATTAAACCTCACTAATTACTCATCAAAGCAAGCTCAAGAACAAATACCTTTTTACCTTCGTTTAATGGACTTATTACCACATCTAGGTAATAATCCATTTCAATCAATATCCCACAGCCATTTAACACATCCAACAGTAATTAAAGTACCAAAATACCAAAATTCATCACTCATCACCATGAAATCAAGAACATAAACATTAAAGCACAAAACATGTTAAATGGTATGCAAATTGTCCTAATTTCGAAATATTAGCAAACTAATTCCAACAATTCTCAAATTAAATCCTAGAACTCCTAACTGACCTAAAATTCAGATTCTGAAATTAATTTAAATTTTCACCAAGTTTCGAATTTTCTTGAAATTAAAAACTAGGAAAATCCCTTTTTCAATTTAAAAATCCAAAACTCTAACATAACTCTAATTAATTTAAAAACTTGTTAAACAAAACTTTTTCCTATCTAATACTTGCTGAAAAACAGATCCAAACTTTAAAAAAGAGAGATTTTTTGGAAATTGCAGTTTTGACCCAAAAGTTTCGAAATTTACACATGCAACCACACTAGAAGTTCAAAATCAACTTTTTTATGAAAATCCATAACAAATCTGAAATTCCACTTTACTAAATGCAGAAAGTGAAGTTGAAAAGTTGTTTTATGCAAAAATTTCGGAAATTGCACAATTTACCCCAAGATCTCTAGATCTACACATGCAAGTCTACTAAAATTTCAAAATCAACTTTTTCTTACAAAAATTCTTTAAATCCGAAAATTTTGTTCAATAAATGCTGGAAAACAGTTTTGAAAACATTTTTCGGACAGACTT